AGCTTTCCTCAGTCTCGACATGGGCGGTGAAGCTGAAGTGGATCTTCTTGTGGCCATACATTATTGTGTGGTCACAGGGCGTTCCACTGCACATCCATCGCCCATGACGAGTTTCTGCACCATGGCTACAAGGAATTTTTGGAAAGGCTAGGTCTTTGGGGTTGCAGCAGCTGGCCGGGGTGGGCCCCGATGAACCAGGCATTCCTGTAGCAGCTCCAGCCCTCGCATATCCATCCCAATCATCTAGAATCTAGCTCGAGTCTAGATCCAAGGACGCTGAGGTGGTGGCACAGTACACAATGGCAATGGTGGGAAAAGTGTGTGATATGTGTAGGTAAGATTTTGTTAGGTTTGGCTGTTAGATCAACAAACGAAGGTGACTGGTGGCCGCCCAAGAAAGTTTGTGTGAGATGTTTTATGGAATGGAATTTTTGTGGCAGCTCGAATGCACCAGGAGGGGGCGTTTGGTGGTGAGGCTTCCGTTGGCGTCAAACATGGCCTCAGACTTTGAAAGTAGCCAAGTACAGGATTCCTCTGGAGTTCACGTAGATGCATGGACATAGCAGTTGCATTGCAAGCCTGTGGCTATCGCTTTCGGATAAAATGTGCTCACCGTCGCAAGCTGTCGCATTGAAACTTCGCAAACAGAAACTCGCATTAGGACTAGAAATTCTGCCTTTTTGCACCGATAGTGATTCTTATGCAGGGATCGCGAGCAGTGCTTGCAACAACCTCTTCAAGCGGCTTAACCAGTTGTCAAATTTGAAAGCCATGCTACTTTCTGAGATAATTGTGTACATGTAGTGCACAATTGCCTTCTGTGCATAGTGTTGCGCACGAGAGTTCTGTGCGACCGACAAGCGCACAGTACTAGGACAAAAAATTCAACTAGTTCCATGCACTGGACAGTTCTACGAGAGGGTTGGAGGCAGCCAGGAAACCTACACCCGAACTTTCAATAATTCACTGAAGCAAAGTGGGATTACCCTGCGCTTGTCCCCAGGTGTCTCAAAGAACGGGTGCTTTTGTATCATATGTGAGGAGATGCTGGAACGGCAGTTTTTCCAACAAAGCATTTGCTTGGATCATCGCATAACATCGCCAGTGTATAATGCGAGGATTTTCGCTTTGCCTTTGGGCTATTTTAATTCCACAGGACATACACGTTGGAAATTTCAAAGTCGCCCGGATGGAAATTTGGTGTGAAATGTGTTGGAACTTGGGCAGTGCAGTGATTTGGCTTGTGAGTATGTGTATATCCCAACGTGTTTGCGGCTTTCAGTGCTGTTGTCCATAGGGCGGAATGATGTGCACCTCCGCGAACAGCGTTCCCCAATTGCAACAGATGGGAACGCATTCTTCGATGACGTATTGCAGCACAGACCCTGCATGAACGATCCGATGAATTCAGAGCCTGTTGGGTGCTAATTGAGATTATAAGACGACCAACTACCACGTGGGCGCCGCTGATGATGAAAGACGTGCACTTGGAGTGTGTCGACTTGCGGATCCCCAACGCCAGCAAAGGCATGCCGCCACGGAGATCGCACACAACACGGTATTGTTCCTGTACTACAAGAATGGCGAAGTGATCTATGAGAAACTATGGGCTGTCGCTAGCTGATGGAGTGCGAGTCACATCCGGAACACTCCCATGATTATTTTCTGAGTCATTGTACGAACGTGGCAATACATTTCAGTAACAGCACCGATGAGTGCAAAGCATGCCTTCGACACACTCTGGATAGTACTTACTAGAATGGAAATAAGAAACAGATTTAACAATCGCGATACCGGTCAAGTAAATGCAGCATGGAAGCGAAATAGTGCAACTGCCGATGGCATTCACAATAGGCCGCAATCCGCGAGGGTGGGAATGTAGTGTCAAGACTATCTTTTACATATAATACTTCGATTTTCACCCTACTTCAAGCCATTCTACCTTTGTCTTACATGCTAACATATTCCACCCTTTACCAAACGAGAATGATTTGGTCCCTTTTACACTATTTCTCTTGAAGTTTGAATGGCATGGCTCGAGCATGGCTCGAGGACTGCAGGCAGATTCCCCGAGTTGATGTGAGCTCTTTACCTGGGAACATATCTTCAACCAGCCTAAGCGAACGTATGCGGACGCTCAGTGCGCAAATCTTCTGAGTCGCTTTGCAGGTATCCATTGACTATAACATTGGAACGCACAGGAGATCACAAACCGCACGATGGCAGTGCCACTTTGCAGCAACTCAGCATGCGCTCTGGTGGACTTCAGGCTGCAAAAGACATTGAAGCGTGCTTGGCGGAGATCACAGATTTATGATATTCTCCCGATGTAATAAACAAAAATTTTTCGCACCAATATCGTCGTGAGAATGGTTCCTGCTGTGCACGTTGCCACTGGGGCGCGAGAACCGCCAGCACTGTCAGTGGCACAACGAAACGAATTCTGGAATCTTTCCTGGTCAATTCCCCGTCGAAGTTCACTGTCAACAGCATTCGCGAAAACTGAAAACAGTGGATGCAGCACAGACGTACGGCACAGAAGTCGATGTCGCTGGCCTGAGTAAGGGTTGCGAATAATGAGGCACTGCCAGCCTGAATTCGAAATATAATTCGAACACTTCCTCCGTCAGGAATTAACTGCCCTCTATTTCAAAGATCAATTTTGTTATCTAAATCGCTTTCAAAGTACCAATAAAGGTTATGATCGAAAAGATTGGATTCCAAAAACCTTGGATACCAAATTTTGTGACAAAGATCCAATCTTCACTACTTCTGAGGGCCCCTTGAAATTGCCTAAGTTTTGGCCGAAATTTGTGCATTCTGATTCGGCGTCCGTTGGAGATCCGCACAGTTCTGGGTGGATCCCGTCCCAGGCGTGACAAAGCAAGATGGTTGTTGGTTATCAATCTCGGGCTATGCTGCAAATGCACTGTGACATTGCGCCTCGATTGATCTTTGAATCTAGGCTTTTGTGCGTGGCTGGGCCCACACTCCAGAAATTGCCACTAGCGGCCAACTCGTACGTGTGGTCCGCAAAACTTCGCAATCTAACTAGTGGTAGTATATACTTATGGGAGAGACACAAACTTGTTTCTCTGACCATTCGCTTTGCGTTCCACCCTTTCAAATTGTCGATGCAAGGGTCGACCTCTCCATCCCGCCTTGAAGCCATTCCCCTAATTGTCCGCCGCTGATTAGGGTGATGGCCATCACATTCCTTCTCATCTTCCTTCGCACCTCTTCGAGGGGTTGGTAGGCCCTGCGCGGTACCTCTCACAGCAGCGATGGAGGTTCAAAGGTCGCGGCACAGAAATCTGGGCCGGAAATGCATCCCCAGATTGGCTAATTGATCTCGAATTAGTGCAGCGAAGAAACGGCGATTTCCACCATTAAAATTTTGACCGTATAATACAAAATATGGGCGCACCTTTGGAGCAAACTTCATTGAAAACAGAAGCTTTCATGATGGAGAGCTAGGGAACCAAATTGATGGAGGACAATTAATTCCGGACGGAGGAAATACATCCAACCTCTTCGCGTCCTATATTAAATGTCCTCTATGACTTTGGCGCATTACATCTCCATTTCAAAAACTCATAATTTAGTGAAACTGCGTCCATATATGTGCACATAAATTTGGAATATCTGATCGAAACTTGCAGCCAATCCGTTGAGAATTGCGGATTCGGCATCGTTTGTAGCAAAGGTGCACCCTCCCGAAAACCATTCATTTTTCAACGACATTGCGGTAACGGCCGTAAGAACTGTATTATTTACTGAAATACCTCACAAAGATATGCTTATGAGTTTGGAGTGTTCTTTTCAAAAATGAAGCCCTAAAATGAAGTCAATCGGTTTAAAATTTCGGATTGGAATCAGCTTGCAGCAAGTGTCTTTTACCTAGGAAGCCTCGATTCCTTGCTAAGAACTGGCCAAAATTTACCTTTTGCCCAACGCTCAAATGGGCCGGATCTCACTTCCTCTTCTTGAAAATTGGCAGTTAGGGCTTTTACAACCGAATTTTTCAGACTGTCACCTCCTTTTGCAGTAAGGACCTTTTTAAGGGCGCCTACGTAATGAATTTTGTTCTTCAAACATTTAATATTGGACAGAAGAAGTATATAGTATGGGCTTCAATGCAATTTCCTCAGACAAAGATGTTGTTATAGACATATCTGGGGCAATTTTTTCCAAATGCCAGTAATGCTCTCGATCAATGGCTCAGTCTACTGCACCCCGCCGCCACCTGAAGGACGCGATATCTGAGAATTCAGCTGCAGGGCTATGCGCCTGAGGACACGGGAAGGAGAGGCGATACAGTGGTATGCAGCGCAGCGGCAAAGCATTTAGGCGATTCCCCAGCCAACGGTGTACGTAGAGATGCCAGTGCTGTGAACGGTGTAACAAACACCAGTGCTGTCACGGGATGCTAGATGTGGGTGTGTTCTGTGCCCGAGAAGAGCCTTGCGCCTTGTGCCTTGTGAGATAACTCATTTGACGGAGTTTCACTGTGAAAGCAAGTGACACAGCAAGGATACAATGGCGGACAGCAGCTTTAATCCGTCCGCCAAGCGAATCCACTGTGGTGTGGCCAATGAATTCGTGTCTGCACTGGCGAATGCGAACGACTCCGGTTCTGCATGCATGCATGGGTGAGAACTTGCTCGCAACCTCTTTCTTGTGTGGGACCAAGGTCACTGTGGGTGCCGCGCGGTCCACAATCTCACTCCAAATCTGATAAGTTCTGATTTACAGCATGAGTCCATGTCTGCGAAGTTGCCGTGCGAAATTCTGCAACACTGGAGCCCTTTCTTCCGAAAGTAAAATTTATGCGGCACCAACTACAAACTACTCGTCGCCTGCCGCAACACGAATTCCAGCAGAGACTCGGGAACCCGAAAATGGTTCGAAAGGTTCTATGCTTATGGCCATAGAAATCCTCGCCAAGAGAGTCCCCTGATGAATCACTACTGCTCCAAAGCTTCAATTCACAATGCAGCTCAGAGATTTTTCTGAGCCACCAGTCGCCTCCATTTATCGATTGAGTACCCAAACCTCTCGAAATCTTCCCTGTACATCTCATACACTTTTTCTAGCATGCCCATTGTGTAGTGCGCCGCCACAGAAGCGTCACCGGCGCTAGACTCCAGCTGATTGGGATGATTGTATGAAGGCTCAAACGCCTCCAAAAAGGCCTGGTGACCGTCAGCCCCCCATCCCCATGCACCGAAAGACTCCCAAAGACCCAGCCTTTGAAGAAGGCTCTTGTAGTCCTGGTGCAGAGTCTCGACATGGGCGATGTAGTTGTAGTGGATCGCCCTGTGGCCGCACATAGCGGACTGCTCCAGGAAATGATCGTTGCCTCGCCGTATGGACGGATAGCTGTACAAGACGTCCACAAACTCCTCGAAAGTGGCGTCCCTCTTCGCCTTCCATCGTATGAACCCGTAGTTCTTGAGCTGCACTATCTTCTGCAAATAACCCGACAGGCACCGTATGACTGGATCTCTAACCACAGCAACCTTTACCCACCCGGGATTGTCCACAACGGCACGGAGCTCGCCCACGGCCGCATCATGTGGAAAGTGAACCAGCCCTTGCCATCGGGTCCCCTTGGCTGTGTCCTTCCAGGTATCCAGGCCAGTCTGCCTCTTCTGCATCATCTTCATCACTGTGCTGGCGCACTTGGGCATGAAACACGTCAAGGTCTGATGCCCCTCATCTATGAATGTATACGACACGAACTTACCCCTGCCTGTCCCCGCCAAAATCGCCGCGGTGTCTGTCAGCGTGCTCGAGGTACCCCGGCATTCCCAAATCCCTCTGCCCCGACTCCTTTGTGCCAGGTCGTCCACCATGGCATCCACTCCCTGATGGTGCCGAGAAGACTCGCCGGCAAGCGCCCGCTGCAGCTCTGCGCTCTGCCCCGATGGCTCCCGAGTGCTGGGGTCCTTGATTGTTTTGCACCCCGTTTCTGTTTCCAACGAGATTTGCAGGTGCCTGCGCGCAACAGCGATTCAGAAGTAAGTAGGGCTCGGCAAGCAGTGCGGAAATTCGGCAAAGTATGCGGCAACGATGCAATCAAGCAATGGTGGATTGGACTTACAGGATCCTTTTGATGTAGAATGTCAGGTGGCGTGGCATGAACTATGTAGAATCTTCCCGTGAATCCACTAAAACAAACCACAGGCCTGGTATTTGATGTCAATATCCACTTCTAGTACTGCGAATGCAACAGCCGATAGGCCAGATTGTCCGCTTCCAAATTCTTATTGATGCAACCCAAATTTCATGTAGGCCAAGCGTCAGAGATTTTTTTGGCAATTTCAGTTTAATGATTGATAAATACACCTAACCAGGCCACATATCTATGAAATTTAATGTTGCTCAGCCCAAACCTCCCACCCCAAACACCAAACACTGAAATCATAAGTCAAGGATGTCTGTATGCAATTCAAGAGGAGGATGCAAGGACGATGGTACCTATTGTTTTACCACCCCACTCGCCAGAAAGTTAATGAATTCTGTTCGATGATTAAACCATGTAGTTTTCGCACGAATGGGCCTGTCCCCGTAGGGGATTGGATCTATTGACACAAAAAGAGTCTGCAGGGCTGGATATGTTTTGAAAGAATTCCTTTTGGGATCCGCTCATGCCAGACTGAACTGGCTGCTGTCTATTCGCCTCCATAATGCTATTGAAATGCGCCCATCTTATGGCATAAATTTCGATTTCAAAATCTGCCTGGCGCTAATCTCGCGGCGATGTGCTGAACAACATTGACTAGACGTCAGAGCACATACTGAAGATGCCAACCAAAGATAAACGGGAGCATTCGTATCACTGTCGGTGTTGCGAAGGCTTTTACAATTATTTGACATGAGTCCGAAGTCTGTGAGCAATTGCATAGATGAAATTGGTGCTGTTGATCCAAAACCGTAAGCATGCCTCACTTCATTTGACTGAATGCATCAATTCTGATTTCGTTACAAAAAGGATCGATCAGAGATTGTATTCAGAATAATACAGAGCAACAGGCCAGCCCCAATCCAAAATATGTTTGCGGCAGGTGAAGTTACCAGTGCAATGGAAGCATCACCGAATTGACCACAGCCAGCATTCATTGAAAGCAAATGGACTTCGCCTGGATATATGTAGCAATAAATATGACTTGCTGAGATGTAGATAGCTCCGCTCACCTGTGCGGGCACCTCCAATTATCCCAATACTCTACAGGCTCAGGTGCAGCCCAAAAGGAATACAAATCCACATACAGCTGGTCCATCATCTGCTTCATGAAGCCTTTGGAAACGCTTTTGAGGTATACAAAGACGTGGCTTGCTCCCCCAAAGTCAATGTACTGGCGAGTGTTTGGAAGGTTGTCTCTCAAATTGGCGATGACCGCAGCCAAGTGGGAGGCGTTCCCAGCGTCTACGATGTGCTCGATGCGGTATAGCGGCACCACGAACAAACTTGCTTCCTGCGGGTCCCGGACCCTGTTCCTGTGAGACTCGAGGACATCCACGAAGCATGCAGATTTGGCATTGATTTCCGCAACTGGTTTCCAGAAGTACTTTTCGGAATTCCCAAACACGGTATTGGGATAGATGTAGAAACTTGACGCAGAGTCGTCACTGCCGCTTGGTGTGTTGCTCTGTTCACTTCCAAAGCCTGGTAAATTGTTTCCTTTGTCAAAGACCCCTTGTGACGGGTCTGGTGGGCCACGATTCATGCCAGTTACTTCAAAGCTGCCATTCGCTTTGACGTTGCCATCAGCAGAGACCAATGCTCCTTGCGTATCTGCTGCCTCGGTCGCTGCTTTGGCCTCCAAAACAGTGCTGATGATCGGTTGATTGGCAGTCAGGACAATGGGTGCCGTACTCCGCCCGCTGCCTCCAGGATTGCTCGCCGGGCCACCGGTCCTAGCCTCGCTTTCAGTGCCCGAAGTAACAGCAAGAGCGCCTTGAGAAGTTGTCTCGTGAAGAAGCTGCACAGGTCTGTCAGTGGTTGGCAGGGAAGCAGCCTGTGCCCTTTGGGGATCCGCGGTGGCTTGGGTGCTCAGCGCCACAGAGGCATGTTCATCGGACGGAAGTTGCCCTGCGACAAGGCGGCGTTCTTTGGGCCACGCAGACACATGTGGACGTGAGTACTGCCCGTCTCATTAGGGGCAACAAGTGATTGTGCCATCTTCAGAAGTTCGAGCACATGGCGTGAAGATTGGGGAATGGCGGCGAGAGACAAGTTGCCGTTTGAGCCAGGGTGCCTTGCCGCATTTCGAAAGGGCAACGTGTTAATTACTGGAAGAAATTAATCCCACGGGTATTTTGATACTTATATTTATTTATTTGTTTGTTTATTTATTGACTTACTTATTTTTTATTCATTTTACATTATTTATATTTGTTATACATTTTTCCTTGGCCTGTTAAACAATGCGCGCCGTCCAATTTTCGTTTTCGGTCGGCATCGGGTCAGGATGTAGGGGCAGAGTAACAGGCTGGGGGAGTTTTGGACCGGCTCTGGAACAGATGCTGGAACAGATGCTGTGGCCATGGGGAGGGATGCAAGCTGTCCCCATTGATCACAGTGCAAGGCCGGTGCTGAAATGGGTCGACCAGACAGCGGCAGTCGCCGCGCAGCTCAAAGGGTAGCCAGCGCGATCAATGCGTGGTCCACTCCGTAGTGACGCCGATGCAATGCCCAAGGACAACGGTGCAATGCGTCCCTGCTCTTCGCATTGCAAGGCCGGTGCAAGAAGGGAGCGGCCAGCCATTTGGGGAAACGAGGGTGGTTGGGGAGGCACTTCAAGCCACCTGGCTGTCCATCAACCGCGACGCCTGCACCATCACCTGCTTGCACATATACTGGCACAGCTTTGCCTGGCTGCCAAGGATGGCGTGCTGGACTATCTTGCGTCACTTTCCTTGAAATTCTTGTTTCAGCGTTTCTCCCTGAGCATCGCTTTACTACTTTAGTGTCTCGGCAAAAAATATGCACAACGTCGCGACATCGCGCCGACTTGTTTCATGTATCAGGGATATACTGCCATGCTGTCATGGAAGAAACGTTGAACGGGTGGAATGTGAGAAACGCTCCGCTGGCCAGTGGCCAGTTGGCTGCTCCCCAGCGGCCTCCCTCAAGTGAACATTCAAGCCCATCTTCGTGTGGCCCGGCAGCCTCCCTGTGCGATTTCCCCCTTCCTCCCACAAACAAACACAGGCGCAACACGACCCCCCGCGTTCGGCCGCCGATCTTCGGCGGCAGCAACTGCGTCCCAACGCGCCCCCCAACCACCCCAAAAGATGCCATGGGCACACCTGGCAGCTCCCGGACGGCGGTGGAGCGCTGGCCAAAGGGGCCCAGCGCCGGCGCCAGAAGGATGGCTCCGAAGACGCAGGCCATGACCGCGATGGCGAACCGCGGCGCGGTGGCGCCCTGGGCGCCATTTTGCCTGGGCATGTCGGCGATCGAATCACCGCCGGGTCACCGCCGGATCAAGCCGCCTTGCGATCCCTGTGCGTGGATCCTCTGCTGGATGGCGCAAGGTCGCGTGGTCAGATTTCTCTCGCGGTCCCCAACCCGCCGCTCGATGGCCAGACGCCGTGTCGCTCACCAGGCGCAATTTAGCTTCCGTTGGGCTCCACTGTTAGGATCCAACAGTGATCACTCCTCGTAGATTTGGGATCCGCCTCTGAGAACGGGGTTCGTTGCCCGTCGGCCTGTGCCCTGAGGCCGTCGCCCCCCTTTTGCGTCAGTGCGGCCCAGTTTGCAGCGCTTCCCGGCCCCGGGAGTTTCTGGCACGCATCTGTACTGGTTTTGGCGGGTGCCTGGATGCCGTTCCGCAGGGCGCCCTGCTGATTCGACTGTCAGTACATTGGCACACTACTTGCGCACCACTTGATTACTAGTTGCAAAGTACGCGTGAGTCGGACGGAAAAGAATTAAACCCAGCCCGTAAAAGGATGAATGTGCACCGATGGTGGTAGGACCTACACATTAGGGGGATGAGGGCAACGTTCATCCACCTCATGGCACGATTCATCCTCGGGCAAGGGAAGAATAGTTTGAGGCATGCTTCCCAGTTCCTGCCGATTTTGCGGCAGATACAAAAGTTCCTGATGTCGCCCCACCCTTCTTCCCCCAGCCCCCATATCCCCACCCATTCGGTAGCATATGAATCGACATGGGATCCTTACTGGAGCTTGACGGGACTCATTATTGACAAGCCACTTTCCCACCTCTCGCGCACACAGCGTAGACCGCAAAAGAATGGCAAACGCAACATTGTTGCTTCTGGCGTACGACATGCCCCCCGGTGGCTAGGGACATGGAACACGGAAATGCAGCCGCGACCCAGCACACGCGTAGCCCAATCCACCAAGTTCCCGTCGCTCATTGCACGCATCTCCTGTGCACCTACACCCATTCGCAGAACGAGCCATCCACAGCCCTCACGACTGCGGAAAGTTGACGCATTTCAGAACCTCGCTCATCTTCGATATGTAGTCCGTGTGCCCGCCCACGACGCTCGTCAAATCAACGTTCTCCACGCCCGCCACCTCCACGGGCATCAGCCCGGCGGCTTTCTGGAGCTGCCCCGTGCTGGCGCGGTAGACCAAGCCCAGAATCCAGTCCTTCTGGGAGTAGCCGTTGATGAGCCTCCCCGCGACGACCCCCCTTGCTGCAGCCCACTGCCCGGCTCCCAACCCAGCCGGCGTGCCCAGCAACACAGCGTGCTCGACAATTCCCCGGTGCCCCTTTTCTGACAACTCGAGCAGGGCTTCCAAAACCAGACGCGACCCGAGGGAGAAGGCCACAAGGGTGACAGGCCGGCTGCCGCGCAGCTGCTCCACAAGGGATGCCGCCAGAAGCTTCCCTGCCTGTCGGGCTCGGTCCATGGCGATGGCCCACCTGCGGCCAGACCTTGGGACGTTGAGCTTGAAATGAGGTGATGGCTTGTGCCAGCACACCGGCCACTTGCGATACCATTGGGGTAATGTCATGATCGACGACGGCACCAACAATAACAGCGCCTACGATTTCAGTAAATTGCAAAATCCTTCACCAGATAAAGGACTTGGTGAGCTGTAGTCTGCACACCCCCTGACGCCAAGAGCTGCGTAAAGTGCAACCACGCGCAATAGACATGTCGAATGTCAGGATTTCAGGGATGAAAGATATCAAGTTCTTCATCAACTCAATAAAATCAGCATACGTTCGATGGGTCGTTATCGAGATTCATGAATCGCAAATGCACATTATCTGGTGTCCACTTATGCCGACATAGCAGACAATGCTGCTGCCCAGTGCACCAGCAAGTAGCAAGATCACTGGCAAAATCGTCAGCACCTGGCAAAGGTTATTAACCAAGCTGCAATGTTACGAGCTGCTGTGGCAAGGAACCATGCAATAACAGCAATTTCGCACGAAAATGGCTCAACAATGAATTCAGACAGGGAGCACGAAAGGAGGGCACCGGGCAGATCGCCGTTCACGCAAGATATCGGCAAGTGGTTGCAAGATACAAGTAGATGAATTGAAGGGTCATCTACAGGCAAGCACCTGTTGTCAATGATCACGCTAGACGCTGTGAGGACTAGGGCGGGCCAGGTTAGCGCTGCAATTAGACCTGTGTGCAGAAATTGCTTGACGAAGAATTTTCCTGCCTCCCCTGCCACCTGCCAAAAAACCGGAGCTGCATTAGTGCAGGTGTTGGATTCACCTCGCCTGTCTATTGAAAGACTATTCTCTGTTGGAAAACAGGAGTGTGAAGGTGCGAGGCAGTGACAGAACAGAAATTGTCAGCATTCGGAGTGGATGGATGGTGCACGCCAGAAACAGGGAGCCAGTGCCAAATCCCTCCCTGAACGAACTGGTGACCGCAACTTGATGGAGATTAAAACGTGCTGCTTATGCAATCCTCCACTGTCCAGCCCAGAACTGTGTCTTAGCATTCAGCAAGGTGGATATTCTTAGCAGGCATGGTGGGCCATCTATTCACAAACTGTGCTTGTTGGGAGCTCGATGGATAGCCTGCCCCAGCGCTATGCACAGGAATAATAACAGGTCAATGGGTACACAATTGTGTATACTCAAAACAGCAGTTGGCAATAGCACAGCAGCGCACTCTATTCTGACCCAGATTTGAAGACAAGGAATGCTTGGTGGCCATGGCAAAGTGGGGCCCTTGTGCTTTGCAGACTGTGATGGGCATGCGCACAAACCTTGTTCTGTGACTCTCAGACACTCCTTTGCCTGCTTGCCAGCTGTGAACAATGCACACAACAGCAGCCAATGTCTGGCAGCAGTGCTGCGCAGTGGCAGCAAAGTTTGCTGCCACCAAATGCCAAACCCCAAGTTCAGAGGCATCAATGACTGGAATTCCTTCTCACCTGTGCCTTCAGCATCGTAAACAGGGCGTCTCCCACTTCCTTCAGCACTTTGGATTCCCACACCAGTGCGAACTTGTCCGTCCCCAGGCCTGGGAGCTTGTTCCAGGGCTCCACAAAGTCCTTGTGGTCTGTCAACCATCCAGTGACAGCGATCGTCACTGCCATGTTGCCGTCAGGACGGTGTGGATTGATCGGCCCTGGCAGCAGGGGCTTCTTCTCCTTCAGAGTTGTCCACCGACGCCACCAGGAGGCCATCTTTGCCTGTTCATTGCCTGCCTCCTGCTCAATCACAGCGACAGCCAACTCTGAGATGGCCTTTTCGGTTCCCTCCCCATTGTTGTCGGTGGACGAAGGCCTTCCTTGGTCTGGTTCAGCTGTTTCAAAGAGCTGGGAACTTCCAGAAAGGTGCTTGCTGCCAAATTGAGTTCCATGGCTATCTTGTGGTGCATTGGACGATTCTGTTTCAGTGTCAATGGCAATGTCATGGCCACTTTGTGTGGAAGAGGAGGGCTCCCCATGATCAGCAGTGGTAGTGCTCCGTCTCCATTTCCAACCCCACTTTGAGGGCTTAGGATTCTTCTTCACTTGCGCATGCGCAGCTCCATCATTGTGTTCCCTGCGAGGCAAAGTACATTGGATCTGCAGACTCGGCAATGATGGAAGCGCTTTGCCACAAACAGGCACAACATCAGGACAAATGATTGGCAAAGTGTCACAAGCAGAAGCCCTCAAGGCAAACGGAGAATGCCGCTCGTTACCACTTGCCGCCCTGCCGAATGCTCACCCAATCCCTTTTCCACATCCGGCTCCCTCCTCACTTGAAGATGTCCTGCCCTTCAATGCAGACAAAAACCCAGGACTGCCTTTGCGGGCTTCTTCAGAGATTTCAGCATCCTCTGCGTTGCTGGACGTCGCCTCTCTGTCCCAGACCTCAGACAGGTCCCAAAACCCAAATTCCTTGATGTCTCCAGTTCGTTTGGCCATGCTCCGACCTGTGGAACCCGCGCCAACAGCCCCAAGGGTGCCAGTGATCGTCGCTGTGCCTGCGCTGCTTGCAGCAAAGGTGGTAACAGTGCCTGCCGTAGCAGCGCTCCCACCAAAGACTGTGACTGCTGAACCAAGCCCAGCAGCAATGGCTGGAGCTGCCAGGCCACCTGATGGAAACAAAGTAAGCCCCTCATTAGATTCCCCCCTGGGTGTTGCCCGGTTCTTGTTGGTGATCGGCTCTTGATCTTCCAATCAACATCTGCTGTCCAACATGTTTGTAGGACAACGGAGTGCCCTTCACCGCTGTATAAGTCTTTGGCTATAGAACGTCTCATAGGTGTCTGCCCAGGATTTCACAATCTACACGACAAGTCAGCCAAAGTACATGGACCAAAAGTTCAAGGTATGCACTACACTGCACACCACAGCATGGAAGGTGCACTGGGTATGCTTTACAAATTCGGCAAGTTTGTTCAAAGCAGAACTCGTACCTGTCAATGCAACAAGAGCACCACCGCCAATGGCTGCCGCCCCAACCTTCAGCCACCTTTTGGTCTTCTTCGTACCTGTAGCATTCGCTGGGACATCATCTCCATCGAGTGGTGGTAGAGCAGGGCCCCTGGACAGCTCGAATGCCACCATCTTCTCACATGGCACTCGCAACCAGTGGGCAACCCGCTTGATGGCAACCCTGGAGCGAGCGTCGTACCTACCTTGGGGGACACAGGACTGAAGTGATAAGAACTCAGGCGTAAGGGAGGATCACAAGCCACCAGTATGGAATGCGCCAGACATTTCAAATCGCTCCACAGCTTTGCTGCTCAGGGCTGTGACTGAGCCTCCCATAACTAATGCGGGTCTTAACAGGAGCATTGACCTCATAAGATCAGCACGATGGACAACCAAGAAGGGGTAGCAAACAGATCTAATGTGCACACGGGGAGTGTGGCCAATGCTAGACGATTTGAGAGAACTCACCGCTGTACAGTAACGCCTCTTGGCTCCGTCAGTCCTCCACTCTTGTCATTGCTGGTGTCGAGCAGGCTGATGATGCCTTTGTTGGGTTCATGCATTGATATGCTGGCCAAAGTCAGGTCCCAAAGTGCCATCACTGCTTTGGCAGTGGCCTCATGACTGTATTGCTCACGAGGACCAAAATACTCTCTAGGTGATACACAGTCTTCAGCTCTGACATGATCAGCTTCTTCCTGGGTGGTTTGTGGCTGATTAGTGTCAGTGGCCACAGATTCGCTGCCTTCCACCCGTGGAGTTGAAGGTGGGCATGGTTTGTTTGCAATCCCATTTTCGTCTCCTTGTGAAGTACATATGTGCAGATCGTGACTCAATCCAATCGACTTTGATCCAGAGGACTCGCAGAGATCTCCACCATGATCAGCACCAACAATGCTTGGATCTTGGGAATCAGCTGCTCTAGCAGCAGGATACTCGTTCTGTGAACAGACCTGGGAATGCTTTGGTAGGGTTGCCCAGCCTGCACAGAAGTTCAGGGCTGGATCCAGCAGCCTGCTGTATGTGCCAACCAACATCACAAGACCTTGCAGATCGTTTCCTGTGGAGAGGCGTGGGTTTGTTGTTGGTATGGTGAGTTGTGGAGTTTTGAGCAAACCCATCCAAGCCAACTTGGGAATATTCAATTGCTGGTAGACTTGTTCACACAGCCCGCTCGGCCCACAGCTGTCCCAGCCCCAAAAACTGCCAACGTCCTGTTGGCTTAGTCTGCTGGTTTCACCACTGAGGATGGCGTCGATATCCAGATGGCAGGGGCATCTGTTCGGCAACAACATTGCACAACATGGGCGTTAAAAGAGAGCACAGGATTGCCACCAAAAATCACTCAATCCTGAGAGCACAACAGTCAATCACGACAGAAAGGAAATCAACACGGTGTGCCGTGCTTGTTTTTCCGATCCCAACATGAGAATCCGTTGACTAAGCATCTGGAGAGCCAAAATGAAGAGCATGAACAAGATCGAGTTCCTGGCTTTGCTCAGCAGCGTTCTGCACAACTGCCAAACAAAGTACGAAAGAGCATTGGTGCATCACCATCGCGTGGAGTCAACCAGAAAACCCGACTATGCGTTCCAGCCTTTCGCACTGATTTCTATGGTTGCACGCTTGGCAACCTCCCCGCAACTTTCCTAAATCACATACTCGGCAAACTCCCCTTGTTACATATCACGAGCAGTGTCACGCGGGTCAGGAATTCCCAAACAGGGCCAGCCGCACCCACCGAAACGCCACCGCCGGTATGCAGAAATGGCATTCAAGGACAAGAAGGAATCACGAACAGTGGCGACAGCCAGCAGCAGGCAGGGCGGTGGCGCAGGACACTTCCCTCAAACCGCGCTTGTTGGTTTCTACCCCGCCCAACCACCCACCCCGTTCCCCACCCCCAGCACCTCCCCGCTCACCCCCACAGCCCCCGCCTCTCTTCCTCAGATTCTAGGCAGTCGAGCCCGCTCTCCACCTACATCACCAACCATTGTCGGTCGTCAGTGTCCACCCACAGGCACTGTCCCGTCCGCTGCTCGCCACAGCGACATCCTCGAGATCGACAAGGGAAATGGCGCCGAAATATGTGCCACCTGTGTTGCGTGCAGTGCCAGCGTGTACAGGGCAGCCGCGGCGTATCGCTCCTCGTCGCCCAGGTCCATTCGCCGCGATTCGGCGCGCCGATTGGCGCAAGTCGGGCGTCTTGGAGCAGGCACGACACCCGGGGCGGCTCCGTGCCGACACAGCAGTCGGAACCGCGTGAAGATATCGGTGCTCGGCTTGACAACAGCGACTTTGGTCCCGGGCTCGCTGTGCTGCAGAGCCGTGCCACGGCCCTTCGACTACTACACTGGCCACAGCCCCCCACACACTTTTGGAAGCCAGTCACAGGTTGGGAGTTTGCTAGGTCCTATTCCGGCCAGATATGAGGTCCCGAACTCCAGGTTCCGTCCCCACGAGCGGGCAGGACCGTATTGTTGGAGCCCGACCGCTGTCTGCTGTACGCGCTCGACCACCATGTTTGCCGAGGGCTCCAGCTCCAGAGGCCCGCTGGGCGCCGTGGCGGCCGCCGTGGGCTTCCAGTCCGACGAGGAGGACACGCTGGAGGGCTTCAACGGCATGACGGCGATGGACCTGGACGAGATGCTGACGAACCAGGGCCGGGGGATGGGCGACAGGGAGGACGGGCCGGAGGGGATGGCCGACAGGGAGAAGCTCGTCGACGCGGATTTCTTCAATGCCTTCGATGACGACTTCGACGAGGACGACATTAAACCGCGCGATTGAAGGCAGGCCAGATGGAGCCATTTGGAAGTCGGAGTGCAGATGGCGTCTTTTGTGGTTCTTTTGGGGATTCTCGCCACTCTGGGAGGATCTTGCGGCCTGATGAATGTGTCTGGTTCTTCCAGGGAGCCCCACAGGGAGCTGGGGGAATAGGATACCTGATCTTTCTTTTCTTTCTATGTGACAAACTCAGGCTCGATTGGTGCAACGAGCGTGGTGCCACCTTGCACTTCCCTGTATTGAAAGAGTGCATTCCTGTGTGGTGATTAACATTGAGACCTGAGGGAATGGCGAATCCAAGCGTGCCCTCAAGGGAAGAGGTGAATTGTGTTGGGGGAAACTTGCCATGACTGCAGGATATCTGTGTGGAAACTGGATGTGTGAAAAATTTGGAGCGTTGTCTGCAGAACATTGTGCCGTTGCCCTTGGGCCAAGCCCAGGGTTATGTGTGGAATTTCTGAACGAGCAGACGCATTGTTGGGGACTGCTCATTCTGGCTTAAGAGGGTCCCAGGTGTGGCGTGGCTTGCACATTGTGTTTCGACTGGACTTCAGGATAGCCGGGGGAGTGCGTAGTCTAAGGCTGCGACAACAAAGTTGGGATCTCCAATTGGTAGGAGTAGCACAATGCGGTGTGAGGTGATTCCCCTCCCAGGCAATGGATGCAGCCCAACTGTTGGGTGCTGTGACGAGTCACGTGACAGTGGCTGAAGTGCAGCTTCTTGAAAGGAGCACATACTGCTAAAGGAGAACATACTGCCAAAATCTTGGGAACAAGATCCTGTTCAGGTGTCACACAAGAACATGACACTTACTTGTAGGAAGTGGAAAAAACTGTGTTCTGCAAGGCAGACTGTTTGCATTAATGTGGGCGGTGAGAGCAGGGCTTGGAAGCCTCTATGTCCAGCCTCAAGTTCTCCTGGGCCAATGACGAGCTGCAGTGGCGAGTGAAATGGGAATATACCCAAGTTTGGCTTGCTGCTTGTGGCAACTGGCAAGTGACAATAGCCTCTCAAGCTGGTGTTCAGCAGAATTTTATTGTGGCCCCAATAAATCAGTTCTGGACTCTGGTGTGCAAGAATACCCGTGGAATAGCACAACTGGCGCCTGTGTATTGGACGTTTCCTATCATCAGCCGTTCCGCAGCAACGTCCACAGTACAAGGCCTTATAGTTTTTGAGGAAACGTGCCACCGCAGGAAAAGGGGACGCCATGCTGTGGAAAATGGTCAGACGGGCTCAATGCCATGCAATCCTGGGTGGTAGAGGAAAGGGTTTCAGGGCACTATCAGATGTTGCCATTTATGGCATATTCGTTCTCTCATGCACCCAGTCGAGTCGTCCAACAGCGCCGCATTCGTCTCCTTGCCATCCTTGCTTGCACGGTGCGATGTCTTGTCAGCTGGTGGCGACAACAAATTCGAGTACAGCAGGGGTCCCTATATAGCGGGCCAAAAACACATGGCCAAAAAGGGGGCGCTATTGGGGGCCAGGGGTGCCATTAGGGGGCACTATATAGGGACCCCAACTGTACCCGGCATACAATTACTGGCTGCACCAAATCGGTGACTGGTTGCACCAACTCCATCCAAAACTTACCTACCCTAAACCCTAAACCCTTAAACCTAAACCCTAAAACCTAAACCCTAAAATCAAACCTCCCCTAAACCTAACTCTAACCCTGAAACTCACCTTAAAACTAAACCTAACCCTAAAACTGAGGTTAGGACATAGTGTTCACGTGATTTGATGCAAGGAGTCACCGATTTTGTGCAGGCAGTAATGTTAATTCAACTGTACCCAGGCCACTTTCGGGCGCTGTTCACCAGGATCCTCATCATCCTTGCCAGAACTTGTGATCGCAGGTCCGCAAACAAAGGCGATGGAAAGCAAACTGAGTCCGTGACATTTAGTCACCCTCCAACATTGTGCTGTCTGCGGGTGCTTCCGCACCCCAACCAAAACTGCGAAAATCAAGCAGGCAGGGGGGGGAGAAAACATCAGCTCATTTGCCAAAGCTCTCCCGCACAGTTTCACAGACTCCAGCGTTCTCGAGGCCCAGGGCCCGCTTCGGCATGCCGCCGCGCCGCAAGCAGGGCGCCCCGCGCTCGGAGCTGCAGGAGTGGTACGCTGAGTTCGTCAAGAGGGAGTGGCACAATGAGCGAAACAGGAAGGCGAACCTGGTGCGTGATCCACGCAGTGCCGCGACCTGCAACCTGCGCTTCCCGATCCAGACTCGACCCCTCCCCCACCCTACGTGGGCCAGGTCGGGGGATTTGGGAATTTCGACATCGGTGCAGCTCGGCTTCATGTTCAGGGCTTGAGCAACGGAGCGAATCACTCTCTGGGTGTGGTGTCCGGCGTTCGTTGATCCTGTTCATCCAGTGCTGGAGTGGCCCACGAATGACTGGTGTCCATAAGCGCCGGCTTTGCCCCTGGCACGTGCTCGAGAGCCAAGATTTTCTGGCCTGCCGCCTGACCCGACTCCGACTTGGGACGCTCTGTGGTGTGTCTCCTGCGCCGCCATTCTGCCCTTTAATGAAGGGTACCACAACAGCTGGGAGTGCGCGGTTGTTGCCCTGAGGTTCTATATTACTTCCCCCCAAAAGGTGCTTTGTTCCGGTGTGGGGCTTGGTCGCAAACAACGCACTTACGCCGTGCCATGGGCATCGCTGTTGGTTTGTGGGCAGACTGGGCTCTTCAAGCTTAGCCAGTGGCGATGTCGCGCATGCTTGACAGCTTCTCTTGAAAATCTAATCATGTGCCATCAGTTTATTGATGAGCTGTTTTACTTCTGGTGCTCTGGTTTGCCAATTGAATGTCAATCCTCATTTGCAAAAAATAGAATGCCCCAGAAATGCCCTTGCCTGGCAATGTGCATCTTGTATCTTGCCTAGATTGCTGATTCCTGCTTTGTGTGTCTCTAGTCTTTGATAAAGGCAGTTGTGATATTCGTTGGCGCGGTGGTCACCTTCCGCACAGTTGGCGACTCCATCTTCCAGACTTGACCCTCTGCTGTGGCCACAACCTGCACCAGGCATTGAACTCGTCATCCTCCTCAGATCCGTCTTTTGTCGCCATTGTGCGTGCAGAGGAGCACTTGCTGGACGAATGTTGCTAATTCCAGCAGAGAGAAATTCCTCTACGAATTTCTGCCAGCTAGTTTGGGATGGCTGTCTTGACAGTACTGGCTTTAGCCCCTGGGAGTGGCAATTGGCTTTTGGAGGTGAAGAGGCAAGTCAGTTTCATCTGGCTATTCGCCTGCGATCTTGTAGAGGGTGCTGCGCACCCAGCAGCTGCATTGGCAGTCCATCAGCGGTACGGAGGTGTACAAGGGAGCCACCTGAGCTGTGCAACTTGGGTGTTTTAATATACTGAAGCAGAACAGAACATGTTGTGCTTCGTCTTGGTTTTTCTGCTAAAAGGACTTTTCTGTTTTGCCTTCTGATATTTGCCAAGGGCATGTGCACCGTCTGCCATCATCAGATAATTTCCGGTACTTCGTTGTGCTGTCTTTAATCTTTTGGTCAGTTTTCGGCAAATACAGCCCAAGACGCAAAACATATAGACCATGTAAACATCCAGAAGTTGCCAATTGAGTGGTAGCCTACATATCGCTTGGTAGTGCAAGGTTGGCACTGTGCCAGGAGTTGTGCCTCTCATAATCCGGAGGTCATCGGTATGCGTTTTCTTCATTTCAATGTGTATGCAAGAGGGCTGGTATTTGTGTGCCACCTTAGTGCATTCCTATTCTTATAACCAAATTGTTAAATTGGCCTGTAAGCACATCAGCAGTTAGATGATCTGATCCTGTACCAACAGAAGGGCACAATTCGACATCCAATTGCATCCGTGAAGCTCACGTGTCAGCCAACTGACCAATGTACGGCACGGATGGTAGATGGTGTTTGCCCGGACTGGCTCAAGAGTAGTTAACGACCGACTCTGACAAGGCCCCAAGGGTTCTACAATGGTAGGCCGCTTCGCTGAAAGCAAATCCGATCCCCAAAGCAGCAAGACCTGCAGAGTGGCACCCTTTGCGACAAATGCCCTTTTGAGGTACTGCAGCAATGCGGGTATATTATATTATGATCGCCTGCATCCACGGCACGGGCACTGCTTTTGAGTCTGACCACTACTCTTGCAACGATTGCGCTCACACGCCTACAAATTTGCTGCTGGCCAGGGGACCTAGTTCTGTGTGCCGTTATTCAGCTCCTCACTACCAGAGGAACTCACACTTCCACATCTACCTTAGCCTGTGCCAGGACCTCCTCAAAATGCAGTGAACGACTGTGGCGTGTTGCGAGTCTCCCACTTTGGGGGTCCGGCACTTATATCTGATGTACTCAGCACCCATCTCAGGCATTTATTGAATTGGCCCATGATGGTGCACGCTGTGTGCTATTCCTATTGGGCACTATGTTGATTTGGTTTCATGGACATTAGGCCGGGGAGGCAGGCGAAGGGACGCGCCAGGGCATGAGTCGGGCTCTGTGGTTTCTGCCGCTATCGTGCTGCCAAGGGTTCAGCACTGCCCGCCACGAGCAACCTCTTCCCTCACTCGTTCTGCACACAGCCCACATTGGCAGCGCACACGCTTTTCAAGTTCATTGCTCAGGGATGCACGACACCACAATGTGCCGCATCAGACCATTTCAGACACCAGACTTCGCGCATCAGGCGCGTCAGACTTCCGTCAACAGCCCTTTGCAGACGCTCCAACCCTTCAACCGCGCAAATGCTTACATTTGCCGAAGATCCCCTACCCCACAGCCCGCCTTTTGCCAAACCTAAACCGTGCACCCACGAGGCCACGGACCCGTCCACACATGCGCG